GCAGTGGTAGATAGGGCACTAATTAGTGATGCATTACCTCGTTTAAAAACTTGTTTCCAGCAAATGAAAAAGCAAACTAAACAAACAAAACAAATCCCTAAAAAAAAGTCTTAGCTTCTGTGTATTTTTCGTATGGATAATTATTTCTGCAGAATTCAATCAATTCTATAGATCTACGGTAAATTTAGTAGAAGTAATTTTTCTTTTTTTTTCTTGATTTTTTTTTCGTTGATCTTGTTTTCCGTACTTGCTCCCGACACCAGAAAGGCAGCTCCCACACCTAGACCTTCTATCAACCCATCAACTCATGAACCGAGGACCAAAGGAAGGCGTGATCAGAGATTTTATGCCTCAGAACGGTTTTTTTTTAATTCAATTGCAATTGGGTTGTTTAGCTTCGAAAAATATACCAATTTTTATACATCATCTGATAGAACTTTGTTTTTTTGAGCACAACGATATTTTTATAAATCCCGTAGACATTCATCTCGATTTAAAATCAAGATTTAAATTTTTGATCATTGACACTAGATCTATTCGTTGACAGCTAGCTCCCATACAAAGTCCTACCAAGGGGCGCTAAGATGGTAATTTTTTGCTAATGTAATGATATTTATTTAAAAAAAGTTCCAGCGTACCAAAATTGATGAAAATTTGGATGTCGGTTCCATTTTTAATGCAGATAACGAATACATAATATATATATATATATATATATATATATATATATATATATATATATATATATATATATACGAGGGGCGATTCAGTACTGTATTTTCGATTCAAGCCAACGTATTGATGAACGTATTGAAGTATTTTTTATCGAATAAACGTGTATTTTGGGTAATAATGTATTATTTTGCACTTTTGGAATATATGTAATTTTCTGTGTATTAGAAAAATGAAAGTGTATTTTTATGCATTAATGTATTGAAAATCAGATATAAGTGTATTCTGTCATTGCAGTGTTTATGTTTACCACTCGAACCCAAGGGGGGAGGTAGCTGTGAAATACGAACAATCGTCGCCTACCTCGCATAACTGGTTCCAAACGTAAACAATCCATAAGAAACCTACAGCATTTGTTTACGTTTGGAACCAGTTTCATACAAGACGATCAGTAGGCTGATTTGACAGCACGTCCCCCCCAGCTCGAACCGAGAATCAAACGGATCAAACTCACAATGTTGACGTTTTGTTTGACAAGTGCACAGCACACGCTAACTTTAAAATACCCACTGATGAGTAGAATTTCACCCAATTTAAAGAAAAGAAAGAAACTCATTAGAGACAGTTCATTAACTACGTAGACAGATTTTTGGGATTTATGAGACCCCCCCCCCCCCACCCCCTTACGTAGACAATTGTCCATACAGAATTTTAAAAATTTGTATGGGCCGTGGATAATTGCCAACTCCCCTCCCCCCCCCCCCACCGTAGTTCATGAACAGCCCCTTACCTCGCTCATTACGCATTAATAAGCATCTGTTACCAAGGCTGTTACGCATTCGTTACTTATTTTTGGGTCTACTCATTAATGTTTTTTTATTTAATGCACTTTTCTTAAAAATGGGTGAAATCCTACTCATTAATGCATTGTATTGTGATTCGAGCGCGAATTAAAATATAATATAATAAATTTACGCATTTTGTCCGAATTCAGCATTTTGATTGTACAAATTTCGAATTTTTCGTGCAAATGACGAATTATCGTGTATTTTTATTATTCGTCGAATATTTGTGTATTTTTTTTCCGAATTTTGTATTTTTTGCATTTTTTTTGAGTAATGACGAGTCATGATGAATTTTTGTGTATTTTTTTCATTCACGTATTTTCAATTCATTTTCGAGAGCAGTGAATTTCCCCTCGTATATATATATATATATATATATATATATATATATATATATATACATATAGGGGAATTTACGTATTCTCGGCAACCTAAGCAGCGACCTTCTTTCTATAGCCTTTTTCTCTAAGGAACGCACACATATGCAGTATTGGTTTGTTTACAATCTTTTGCTGCCAGCTGCTCTAACAATTTCAGTCGAAAGAATTGTCAAAAACTGTTTTGAAACGCTTTTACAAAGCTCAACTTCTCTAGTGAGGGCGAGTATTGTCGGCAACCAGTTTTTCTTCGGCAACCGTTCCATTTGAACTGCATGTAAATCTGCTGTTCTATTATCGGCAATTCGAAATCAGCTACAATTTGTAGTGCGCGTGTGTTGCATTTCAAGAAAACCTTGCTAGATTGCTTTTTCTCAGTGGTAAAAATATAGTCAAATTGAAGCTGAAAGCATAAAGAATCGTTTGCATGCATTCAGCGAAGTGTTTTCGTAAGAAAATCCAGTGAAAATAGTGTTTCAATTTGGGTTGCCGAAAATAGTCTGTCATGCCGAAGCCGTCATTTCCCCTATATAATATATATATATATACACATAAAAATAATCAGCTTGCAATATTGCTGATTGCATCTGAAACTGGACTGTCCCAAAAATGCAAAAAGTGTGTTAAAAGTGCACGTTTCTGTCAAATCGTTTTGATGTCTTCGGAGCACTTATTGCTTGCATCATAAAGAATAAGTGCACCCAAGACACCAAGACGGTTAGACGTAAACTTGCGATTTTATCACACTTTTAATAAGTGAAAACGCGCTCCAATTTGGTGTGAAATACGCAATACAACAGGGAAAGGTTTTGCAGCTGATGAAAGAGAAAGTCGATGAAGAAAATCGATCAATGCAGATAGGACTTTATGAAATGTTTATCTAGATATCAAGTTGAACATTGCATTAGGTCCTAAGTAACATTGATCGATTCTCTTCCTCGACTTTCTCTTTCGTTAATAACTCGACAGTGAGCATGCATAAGGGCCTATACCACAGAGAACAGACGTTCAAGCTCGGTCAGAAACTTGTGTAAAATAAGTGGGAACGTCGCCGTTACGTGGTGTTAGCATCTCCTGATTTTCTCTATAAATTTTCCACTTTCGACCAATTTGGCGCTAGTATCGATACATTTTCTGTTGAAAATTGCCACTTGGCGCTATTAGCACTTAGTGTCTAGTGTAATTTGTGCAACGCCAGCGCCATCATGTTGTCAAAGTGGGTTTTTAAGTGGGGAAGTCGCCGTTAGTGGCGCTTAAGTCGAATAGGAATCTTTACACAAGTTTTTAGAGAAATTTTGTTCGAGCCTCCATGTCTGTTCTCTGTGCCTATACGCGATGATCGATTCTCTTCGTCGATTTTCTCTTTTGTTAATAACTCGCTAGATTTAACGTTTCTCGGTGCTGTTGCTGTTGATAGCCAATACAACCTGTTACTACTCTGCATTGAACAAATTCTAGAAAATTGTTTCGCTTAGCTGCACGGTAACCAGCGTAAACACATTAATGTGTAAAATTTCACACATTTCGTGAAAAAAGAGGCTTACTCATAAAATGTGTAAGCTGCGTTTACACATTTATGTGTAAACCCAGCAAACGTCAAAAGAAGTGTATTTTTTACACATTTTTCAAGAACGGTTTTTACAGCAAAATGTGTAAAAAGTAATCATTTCTAGAACTTAAATATAATGGTTTTTTATTAACTTCGGAATTTTCTTATTTGTGTCAATGGTAAAATAAAGATTGCTCGATTATTGTATATATTTTATTAAAAACAGAAATGTAATCAACAAAAATAAGTAGCGGCACCGGAGGTGTTGGTAAGCGTGATTTCTTCGTGATTTCCTCTCAATCCCAGTCGACGCTGCCGGGATGTTCTGGCGCATAACATCTCTGATCGCGCCGAGGATCACACCTTCCTTCGGAAGGGAAGTGAAGCCATTGGTCTCCGGTTCATGAGTTGATGGGTCGATAGGTAGGGTCCAGGTATGGGAGATTCCTCCCTGGCGTCGGTAGCATTGATGCTCAGCACGGGATAAATCAAGGGAAGAAAAACAAAAATCAGTATATGAAGTATATAAACTAAACTAAAACTAAAAGCTATGAAAAAAGTATAAATTACCTACCCTTTAGCATGTCCATCGTTGCGCACTGTCCAGTTTGGACCGTAGTTCCTCAATTTTCCTGCTGTTCTTCACTGAAATTTAGCAAATGGCGTGCGTCAACAAAGTAGGATGCAGCAAAGTTTGAAGTTTTTTTTTACCCATTAATGAGTATAAAAATACACATTTTTTAGGATCTCCAAATTTACACATTTTTTGACAGCTGCATATAAATATAAAAAATGTGTATTTTTTTACTCATTTATGTGTTAACGCTGGTTACCGTGTGTAGCAATGCAAAGAGAAAATCGATGAAGAGAATCGATCATCGCGTATTCGCCCTTATGCATGCTCACTGTCGAACTTAATAATATAAAATAACTTAATAACCTAACGTTAATAATTCGTATTAGATGCTAGATAAAAGCTTCTTGTATCGATCTGTGTGCTGAAAATACCTGGGAATGTCTTTTCATGGTCTTGGGGATGCAAGGAAAAAGTCGACGAAGAGAATCTGTCAATGTTACTTAGGACCTAATGCAATGTTCAGCTTGATATGTTTTCATTAAAACAGCGATTAGCAGTTATTTCGACGTTGCAGTTCAATTCCTTTTTCTGACGTTAATCATTAATCCGCAATGTCGATGTTATTATAACATCGACTCTGGATTAATCAAGCTGTCAACTTTATTGTGACTTTTACACAAAAAATATTTCAGATGGATAAAAAACAATAATTTTTTTCTATATGCGAAAGATTTGAATGAATTCATAGAATAACCATAATAAATACATTAAATTTCATTACAGATTTATCAATATCTGGAAGATTTTTAAACTAAATAATATCCTTTCAGTGTAACATTGGAAGTTAATAAAGAAATTTGACGTTTCCGTTCTGTACGTATAAAATACAAAGAAAGTCGCGGTATGTTTCTCCTGTCGATTTCTGATTACCGCATTGAGATTTGGGATTTAGTAGCGATACAGTTTGGCACTTCGTGGACGCCATATTATTAGTGTTGATTGTTTTGCGTAAAACTTGTTTACATCTAGGAAAACCGTAAAATTAATGCAAAAGCAAACGATAATTTCTAAATTTTGTGAAGTTCAAGTGTGTAGTTTGAATAGTGCCGTATATTGAGCTATTAATAGCGAACACTGATCGATTTATTGTGCGGCAAATAGCTTTGCAAAAACGGATCATCGATATGGAGTTGGGTTCTCTGAAAAATTTGGAACTGGATAAGATTTGCCGAATATGTTTAGCAATCAAGAAGGAAATGCGTCCTCTTTTCGGAGAAATGGTGGCTGAAATGTTGATGGAAATAGCCAAGATACAGGCATGTCAGAATATTTAGTTTCTATGGATTAATCTTAGATTTTTTTTTTAGATTGAGCAACTGGACGGCTGGCCGGACAAAATCTGCATCCAATGCATCCATCAGGTTAGTCGATGCCATGCCTTTAAAACTCGTGTAGAGAAATCGGATACTGCTCTGCGGCAGTATATAAAAGGTATAACTATTGTAACGGAAGAACAGATGCCCAAGGAACTTACCCTCGACGTTCAAAGGCCACCATCAATTGCATCCCAAAAGATTCAGCAAATTCAACCTGTATGTTAACTAAAGCGTAATTTTGTTAGTATTGTCCGCATCGATTTCTCACTTTTGTTTGTTTTAGGCTCCTCAAATTCAAGAGATTCATATTCAACGAGCTGATATACCTACGATTGCCGAAAATCCTACTCCCACGATGATACTGACTAACGCACAGTTATTGAATACAGGGGCACACATAATTAATGCTGGCCACTTACTGACGACAGCAACTGGACAACAAATCATTCATGCTCCACAATATCACGCTGCACAAATAGGACAATTTATTCAAGGGCCAAACAATACGATACAGATGATCACTCATGGAGCACCACACCCCCAAATCCTACAAATTCAGCGAACTGCCGATGACCGGTGTGAAATCATTGTTCAACCGGAAATGACAGAGCAGCAACAGTATTATGATGAAAATAATGGTATGACCCCAGTGAAATTTTATATGGCAATGCAGCTCTATTTAAACTTTTCTCTTTGAAGTTATCTCAGTGAATCCCGTTCAATCCGTCCCATTAATGGTGGCAGCGCCAACCGCAACGTTACAACATCATCTTGCACAACACGCTATTCAACAGCAACAACAACAACAGCATCATCATCACCATCATCATCAACAACAACACCATCAACATCAACAGGAGCAGCACGAGCAACACCATGAAGAACAGCAGGAAGATGAATCAGAAGAATCTCATTTAAAAGATGGCCAGGATTCGGATTCTGGTGAGCATGACGATAGCCAAATAGACAATGAAGAATACCTAGAAGAAGACCAACCGGATGACGAAGAGGAAGAAGAGGAACAACTTGAGCAAACAGAGGTCGATGAGGAATATTGTATAACGGATTGTGAATCGGATGATGAAGAAAAGCAACTTGGTAAGACAAAATCCGATGGATTATCTTGCTTTAGATTGTATGTTCAACCGTGTTGATTATTTTTAGCTGAGTTTATGACTTATCAAACATCCTGCCCTAGTCCAGGTCGATATGTGTGTAATTTGTGCCGTAAGGAATTCAGCCAACCCAAGTGGTTACAGACGCATATGTCGTCTCACTCAAATTGGTTAAAGGTAAGATTCGGATTCAGTTCCGGTTAATGGACATTTTTCATATGTTATGTTTTAGGCTAATTGCAAGAAACAACCCGAATGTGACATATGTCATAAAAGCTTCCGAGGTCCCGGGATGTTACGAATGCACATGAAAACACATGAGGTAGGCGATTGGGCGTATGTATTTTAATGCTTCGCAATCAATTCATGTTGAATCCAATTCTTTCAGAAAGAAGACAAACTGCCCACCTGTTCCATATGCCACAAAGAGTTCAAATCAAAGTCAATTCTTTATCGACATAGACAAACACATTTTGAGGTACCTAATACCTTAAGGGGAAACTTACCGGCCCGAAAATAAAAAAAGAAATATTTTCTGTACTTTTTATTTTTCTAAAAATGTTGGGAAAAATTATCAAAAATCCAAGAAAATCAATTTCTTCCTTGGATTTTTGTCAAAAATTACATGTAAAAATATTTTTTCTATCTTATCATGAAAAAAAAAATCATATTTTGTGGTTTTTTTAGTCCAACTTTATGCCATAATGACTTATAAAAAATGTTTTTGCACGTGAATTTTCTTTGAAAAATAAGAAAAAAAAAATGTATTTATTTTAGATTTTTGATACCTTTTTTTTCAATATTTTTAGAAAAATCAAAACGTAATTATTTTTTTCGGAGCGGTGAACTTCCCCTTAATAGTGATTTTATGTTATTCCAAACTACGAATTCGTTATTTACGCAATCTATCTTACAGAAAAATTTTGCATGTACGCTGTGTGACAAACGGTTTAGTTCGAATTATCAACTGAACATCCATGTGCAACGACATAGAAAACAAAAGCCGCACAAATGTCCTCACTGTGACAAATCGTTTTACAGTGCTTCAGATTTGAAGGTATTATACATTTGTCTGGAGATCGATTTTCGAAACCGTTTTTACAAAGCTTATCTTTTTATAGGTGCACGTCAATCAACATCTCGGTATAAAAGTGATCCAGATCAAAAAGGTTTCGACCGCTAGCTAATACGTAGTTAATTGAAAGATTAATGTCTAGAGCAATGCAACATTTTCCACTGAAACTGTTATGGAGGGGAGGTTTCAGATTCGCCTCATAAGATGTATTCAGATCCCCTATGACAGTTATTTTTTACCGTTTTCTATAATTGCACACAAAACAAGCCCTTGTACATAGATTTTCTAATTATAAAAAAATGTGCGTTTTTAAAATCAACGGAATAATTTGTAATGGTACTTCGCATGTGCAATGTCTTAGTTAAAGAAAAAAAAAGTCTTGCCGACTGTGTTAGACAAAATTGAATGTCAGATTCAGAATGAGTGTATTTATTACCGACACGATTAATTTCAATGTTGCTTAGAGAATTATGGAAATAATTCGGATTTTAGTGAATGGTAATCTTGTTGTACTTTTCATATTTATTTTATGTTCAAGACTTCATAAAAGTGCTACAATAAATAAAACTGCTAATTTGATAAGAGGTTTTTGGCTTTTCATTACTAAATATTTAGGTAAGCTGATAGTCGTCGCCTACTGCAAGATCATACATAAATGTCGTAGCATTTTAGGGAAAAAGGGAGTTTTTTTTAACTCTTTATGCAATACACGGCCGTAGATTTGACGTAGGATCACGAAAGGTAGTTTTGATGTCGCAGCAAAAGTACAGTAAACATTAAATTTATTTCTTAACTCGTTATCAGTGAAAAAGTTCGATAGATTGAAATTCGGAAGCAATTTGAGAGTTCTGTTTTTGAGGTGCTCTGTCGGTGTCCTGGACGATATGTCTTGGATAGGTACAAGCTCTTACTTGAACTCTTTAGTTAACTCTTTTATCAGTCATTTGTGGTCCTAAAAAGAACCGATGGGTTGGATACTTGGAAGCCTGCTTAAAGGGTGTCCACGATGAAATTGCCACACACAAAATTGATTCGCAAAATTCGAGTTTTCATCCGATTGCCATCAAATTTTCAGGGATTGAGAAATAACTATTAAACTTCATTTTACCATTTTACTCGTATTTTATTTACAGTCCATACGCAAATGCCCGCACCTTGGCCTTAACCCCGGCCATAAGATTCTGCACAACCTGTGAATCAACCGTTTTTTGCATGTAAACCCATACTTTCTTCAGTTCCTCGACTGTCTTCACTACCTTAGGTCGTTTAAGAAGGTGCTGCTTCATAATCGCCCAGTACTTCTCGATGGGGCGGAGCTCCGGAGTGTTGGGAGGGTTGAACATTTTCGGCACGAAATTGACCTTATTGTCCGCATACCACTTCAGCACGTCCTTGGAGTAGTGGCATGAGGCCAAATCCAGCCAGAAGATTGTTGGGACGTTGTGGGCCTTCAGAAGAGGAAGCAGCCGCTTCTGGAGGCACTCTTTTATGTACACCTGTCCGTTCATCGTGTCCTGGGTCACGAAAGGTGCACTCCGCTTCCCGCACGTGCAGATGGCTTGCCAAACCAGGAATTTCTTCGCAAATTTGGACATCTTCTGAGTGCGGACATGGTCCGGAACGCTGAACTTATCCTTGGCCGTGAAAAACAGGTTGCCGGGGATCTGTTTGAAGTCGGCCTTCACATATGTTTCGTCGTCCATGATGCAGGATTCAACTTTCGTCAGCATGTTGAGGTACAACTTCCTGGCACGGGTTTTGGCGGACTTGTTCTGCTTCTCGTCGCGACTAGGGGCCTTTTGTACCTTGAATGTTCGAAGCCCAGCCTTAGTTTTGGCCTTCTGGACAAAACTTCGGCTTAGGTGCAGCTTCTTAGCCACATCCCTAACGGAGGCTTTCGGATTTCGGTTGAAGGCCCCAACTACGCGGTTGTGATTTTTGGTGTTGTACGGAATACTTTTTCCTTCACTTCTGGGCTTCCGATCGGTGGTCAACCGTTCCTCGAACCGCTTAATCACTCGCGACACCGTGGAATTCACGATTCCCAACGTTTTAGCGATGGAACGATGCGAGAGATCCTTGTTCTCGTGATGAATGCGCAAGATTTTATCACGCACGAGCTGTTCTTTCGACTCCATTTCCGCGAGTTTTGATCACAGGACTTTAAAAGTTGCAGGATGTAAATAATGCACTATGAACTAAATCCACCCAAATTTTCATTAAATTCTACCCAACGGTTAAAAAGTTAGAGCAATTTCATAGTGTAGCAATTTCATCGTGGACACCCTTTAGAACAATGCTGTGGTTTTTTTCTCGATGTTGTTGGAGATGATAGCGGTGCGGAAAAGAAAAATGTATTAGGGAAAACACATCAATCACAGAAACTGAGCATACCGGACGGTACCTAAGTTTATGCTTTTTGATGCAAATTTTAAGTCCCTTCTATTAAGAGAATTCGACAAGATTTTTGGTTGGCATAATTCTCTTAATAGGAGGGGCTTAAAATTTGCATCAAAAGGCATAAAGATAGGTACCGTCTGGCATGTTCAGTGCTCGGTATCAATATTCGGCGACTGTATAAGGGAAACCACTTTCCCAACACGGAAACGCCACGTTTTCTGATGATAAAATTACGTATTTTCGTGCACACGGATTTTTTGGCTTATTCAATAGATAATAAAAAAGACGAAAATTGTTTGGAGGAATTTCGTTGCTAATTTTTTTCCATCGCGAGAAATTCGCGATCAACGTCCTAGAGAAAGCCTTACCTAAATTTGAAGTGTTTCTGACTAATTGACATGGTCATGTGGTATTCGTTCATTGCTAGAATATGTATGTACCACTTCTATTAATACTTTCTAGCTGGTCTTCTCGCCATTTTCGCTGCAGCGCTGATATGATTGCGTTACTGCTCTGCTGACGGCGTTAAAGGTTCTCTCCTCTCGACACATTTCTTCGACGACGTTCTCCGCGCTGGTGATTCTTACACATTCCCACACTCCGGACAGAAGGGTGACGTTGTGTGTCCGGACCGATGTAAGTACTTCCTGAAGCAGCCATGACCAGACAAGAACTGCATCAAGTGTGGAAGTTTACTTCTCCAAGCTTCCTGTTCACCCAGTTCGAAAGAATCGGTATTAGCCTGTGTGTCCATCTACCGTTCTCTGCTGCATCCCACTCCTGCTGCCGCTCAGCCATCGACACCGTTCTCACCATTTTTCGTACTCCTCTGGTTTCTCTCGTCATATAGCACTCGTAGTCCTCCGCCAAGGTGATGCCGGTTGGGATCATACCGGCGATAACGCATACTGCCTCCATCGAAATGGTTCTGTATGCACTCACGACTCGCATGGCCATGGACCGGAACGTACTGCTCAATTTCCTTTGGTTCTGCTTCGTTTTCAGCGCTTCAATCCAGGCTGGACCTCCGTACCTTAGTATCGATGAGGACGCACTAGCCAGAATACGCCTCTTGCGGCTGCTTGGATCAGAATTGTTCGGCATGATTCTGGCTATTGCGTTCATGACCTTCACCGCCTTCTCGCAAGCATATTCGATGTGGCTGTTAAAGTTTAGCCGGTCGTCGATACTTCGATACGCGCTTCGAGCCGGCGCCGGTGGTGTAGTGGTAAGCGTGACTGCTTTCTAACACCCCAATAGGTCTGGGTTCAATCCCAGCCGAGGTCGGTGGGATTTTTCTGAGGCATAAAAATCTCTGGTCACGTCTTCCTTCGGAAGGGAAGTAAAGCCGTTGGTCCCGGCCCATGTGTGTTGAATGGGTGCGATATCCTACGCAGGTGTGGAAGCTGCCTTCCTGCACATTCGATTGCCGTCAATGGATGGCAATCGATGTCCGTCGGTGATTGGCACTAGATTGCGGAACAGAGACCGACGTTAAATAAAGGAAAACAGATACGCGCTTCGAAACAATGGTGTGCTCTCCAACCGTGATTTCTACCCGCTGCACTGCTTTGCAGCTACTGACCAACATCACTTCTGTTTTGTGGTGGGCTATCTGCAGCTTAGCTCCTTGCATCCAGTTACCAATCGTATCTATCGCCTCGGCCGCCAGCATTTCCACTTCTTCCAGCGTCTCACCGGTTACCGTCAAGACGGCATCGTCCGCAAAGCCAACGATCTCAACTCCTTTGAGCAGCTTGAGCGTCAGCACGCCATAGTACATTCCGTTCCACAGCTTGAGACCTAGAATGGAGCCTTGTGGAACTCCCGCCGTGATTCTAAGCGATTTCTGCCCCGTGTCTGTCTCGTAAACCATGACCCGGTTCTGGATGTAACTACTTAGAATCCTGCAGAGGTAGTCTGGAACCCTCATTCTATGGAGCGCCTTGGCGATGGCCTCCCAGCTAGCGCTATTGAATGCATTCTTCGCATCAATCGTAATCACGGTGCAGTATCGATTTTCTCTCCGCTTCTGTTTGGAAGCTTTCTCGGCTCTGTCAATCACTGTCCGAACTGCATCCACCGTCGATCTCCCTTTCCGGAATCCGAACCGCCTCTCCGACAACCCGTGTTCACTCTCCGTGCATTTCGTCAGCCTGTTCAGGATGATCCTCTCCAAGAGCTTTCCGACTGTATCCAGCAAGCATATTGGCCTATACGATGCAGGATCCCCCCGGCGGTTTTCCGGGCTTTGGCAACAGCACAAGCTTTTGTACCGTCCACCTATCAGGGAACTGATCCTCGTCCAGACATTTCTGCAGCACTATCCTGAACATGTCCGGGAACGTCTGGATCGCCGCCTTTAACGCCACGTTGGGAATTCCATCCGGGCCGGAAGCTTTATTCGCCTTCAACCCTTTCGCTGATGCTAGGAGTTCCTCGTTGGAGACTTGTTCAACGTTGTCTCCATCTTCCTCGCCATATGGTGTAGGTGCCAGATCGTTGGGTCATGCTGTGGGAAAAGTCCCTCGACGATGACTTTCAGCTTGTTGGGACACATTTCAACCGGCATCGTTGGACCTCTGATCTTCGCCATCGCGACTCGGTATGCGTTGCCCCAGGGGTTGGCATCTTCATCGCGGCACAGCTCCTTGAAACTGTTTGACTTGCTCAGCTTTATCTTTCGTTTTAGTGCAGCCCTGGCCTCTCGCAACACCACCCTGTGCTCCTCTCTATCTGCTTCCGTTCTTGCTCTCTGAACGTGCCTTTTGGCTAGAAGACAACTAGCACGGAGTTCCACCAGTAAGCTGGACGCCGTCTTTTCGTTGGTTCCAGTTTTCTCGGCATAGTTGTGTCACATGCCCTTGCTAATGATTCGGTCAACTCGTTTGCGTTTAGACCTGGGACGCTGCTGTCTACCCTTAGAGCTTCAAAGAGATGAACTAGCCTTAGGCTTAAAATCTCTTAAATAAAAAATAAAAAAAACCCTAGGAGTTTCAATGAAGAGATCCTTATTGTATGCCTTCGTCTTCCACTTTCGCTTGCTTACTTTTGTCCTTCGTATTTCCATCGGTTCCGTTCACCAATACTGTACCGGATCGCCTGATCGACACTATGGGTGTACTCTCCGCACACTCTCCAGTCCATATTTGCCACTAGCGACGTACTGCAGAAAGT